CCCCCCCCCCCTCGCCACGGTGCCGGTGACGCTCTTCGCCATTGGGTGGCGCGGTGGCGCGGTCGCTGCTATCAGTTGGCGGTGCCGGCCGATGCCGCGAAGCGCGAAGCGCGCCGTATCTCTTTACTTTCGCACGCTTGCCCACCACCACGCGGGCAGGGCGCCCCGGCGGCCGCTCCCAGCTGCAGGCTGAGGGAGGAAGGGCCACCTGCATCGCCGCAGACTGCAGCTGACTACTCGCTCTGGCGTGGCCCCCGCCGCGCTTCGCCTTCTCTGCGCTGTGAGTGGCTGGCCGTCGATATACAACGGCGGTGGTGTGGAAAGTGCTGCTGCTGCTGCTGCTCCAAGCGTTCGGTTGGTGGTTGGTTAAGGCAACGCTGGAGGAAACGCATGCGTGTTGTGAATGTCGCACACTTGTGGATGTGTGAATAATGCCCATTCGTACACTTCTGGGAGCAAAGGTATGTGAATTTTCCTTTCAAATTCATCACACACACTTGTGCCCCCATGCTTATACGAATGGCGTTTTCACACACCTACACAAGTATGTGCGACACATTCGCCCACTTGGGTAATTTCCGGTGCAGTGAAACGATTGGGGGACTAAAGGAGGGAGGAGGCTGGTGGTGCTCGGGCGGAGCTGGGGTGGGGCTGCTGCGGAGGGATGATGAGATGGTGATCCGGTGCAAAACTTATTTGGGAAATTGCTTATTATCGCCTCTGAAACGCTTGTGTCGTTATTGGGGTGCATGCTGAGCGCGAATGTGCGCTAAAGCGAGGTTCTCCCCCTTCCCAACCCCTTCCCGAGTGGAACTGCAGAGCGCGACACGGTCACGGTCACGAACTCGTCTCCTCCGCGCGTGAGCGTTCAAATACTACACGGACCTTGTCTGACGCTGTCCGATCTGATGCCCATTTACACTTCAGAGATGTTCGTAATGTCGTGGGGACCCCCCCCCCCCCTCCCCCACCGGTCTCTTTACCTGTGATCGCTTTGCGCTTTTGGACTGTACCAAACTTGTTCTCCGGATGCTGCAGTGCAGGCTTGGCCGGAATGTCCGCAATCACCACTTTGGCGGTTTCCAGATGAGTTCGCGCAAATTCTTACCCAATTCGTCGCCTGACATACTAACGCGGTTGTGTTGTTTTGCAGTGAGCGATGACGGCGGACAAGAAGAAGGCCAAAAAGCCCGACAGCAAGTGGCCTCACCTGCGGTACAGCCGGGCCGCGTCGCGCCGGGGACCCGCGGAGCAGGCCGAGCACGGCGCCGACGTCTACCCGGAGGTCCCGCGGCGACCACCGCGCGCGCGGTGCAGGCCGTGCAGGGTGACATGCGGTACGTGCAGGGATTTTAGCTTCCAGAAATCTATTTTGAGAAAAAATTTAAAGAACTATTAAAAAATTATCTAAAATTATTTTGCCCAAAGAGTTTCATTTTTTTCATTTTTTTCTGGAAACATTACAATTTTTTCAGATTTTTATCTGGAAAACTTCACAATTCTTTTTTAGTAAAAAAAAAAATATAAGACTTTAAAATTTGAAGTTAAACGTGCTATTGGTGCTATCATAGCAGTGAGTAGGCGGCGGTTGACTCGAGGTTGACGCTGACGTGCTTGCGCAGGGCTCCTGGTCGCGCTGCTGGTGGTCCTGCTGCTGACGGGGTCCGTCCTCCTCTGCCTCACGGACTTCTTTGAGACTATGATCCGAAAGGTGAGTGAACCTTAATAATAAGGGACCCCTTTTTTATCTTATCTGTATCCCAACCCCAACCCCCGCCCCTCAAGAGCGAGTTGTTCAAGTGGTGTTCCGTCTGTCCCTGTTCCACCAGGGGCTGGTGTTCCAAGAGGGCGGGCCGCTCTTCACGGGCTGGAAGGCTCCGCCGCTCAAGCCGCTGGTGCGCGTCCGGATATTCAACTACACCAACACCAACCAGTTCCTGGAGGGGTTCGACGAGAAGCTGCGCGTGCAGGAGCTAGGCCCTTACACCTACAGGTGAGCGCATGGCAGACGACAGCTCCACAACTTCCTGATATGGGAGGAATAGACGAAAAACGACGATGTTGAGCGCGTCCACCCGTGTGATGTGGTGTGATGATCGTCGTTTGCAGAGAGACTCTGGAGAGGATCAACATCCGCTTCCACGACAACGGCACCATGTCGTACAACGAGAGGCGCAGCCACGTGTTCGAGCCCGAAGAGGGCAACCCGTCGAGGGAGGACGACGTGGTGGTTGTGCCCAACCTGCCGCTCATAGTGCGTCTCGCCTCGCCGCCGCCGGTCCAAATGAACACGAAACCGTCAGAGGGAGAGGGTCATCGTGGAAAAGATTAAAATGTTTCCAGTAAAAAGTCCAAAAAATTGTCAAAAAAATTCTAGAAATTCTTGAAAAAAAAAAACCTGCTATCTTGGCTCGTTCTGGGGTCACTTTTCGCCCCGCTTTAGTCCTGTAGGCTGTAAAATGACCGCCCTCGGGTGACATTTTCGTGTTTATCGGAGTTGTCCTATCGGACTGGCTGGCTGGCTGGCTGACGCTCTCCTCCTTGTGACCCGGCAGGGCGCCGTAGCGCAGGCGGCCAAGATGTCCATGTGGTCCCAGCTCGGGGTCAACACGTTCCTCATGATCAACCCCCCGGGCGAGTTCGAGACGCTGCGCGCCCGCGACTTCCTCTTCGGCTACGACAACTCGGTCTACTCGCTGGCCAAAGGGGCCAATGCCGTCTTCGGCGGCGGCCCGCTGCCAAAGTTGGGCCTCTTGAGCACGGTGAGCAGAACAAACTCCCCAAAAGTCAGTTTGAACCGTTTGAACTGTGCGTGGGTTGGAAGCCCTAGAAAGTTTCTGAAAAATTTCAGGAAAATTTCCTAGACTTTGGAAAGTTTTTCGTTATTTTCGGGAAATTTTCAGTAATTTTTCTGAAATTTTCTGGAAAATTTTGGAAATATCCAACCCTAAACTGTACGTACCCCCAGAGGCCGCGCACCTCTTGCCTTCGGGTTGATATCCGAGGCCGAGGTCCGCGAGCCGAGGGCGGCGCTCGGGTGGCTCGAAGCTGATCCAGGGAACTCACACCTTCTGTTTGCGTAACTCACACCCCCTGTTTGGCTAACTTCACACCCCCCGGTTGGCTAACTCACCCCCCTGTTTCCCGGCCGCAGCGCTCGGGGGTGAGCAACGACACCTACACGGTGTGGACGGGTCGCGGGGACGTGTCTCGGCTGGACGTGGTGACGCGCTTCAACGGGCGCGCGCAGCTCTCGGCCTGGGAGAGCGACGACTGCAACCGCATCGACGGCTCGGAGGGCGCCTTCTTCAACCTGGACGCGCTGCGCGACCGCCGGCCCGTGCACCTGTTCAACGCGGGCATCTGCCGCCGCCTCGCGCTCGAGTTCAAGGGGGAGACGACCGTCATGGACGGCATCCCCGCGCTGCGCTACGGCCCGCCCGACAACTTCTTCCACAACGGGCTCGACAACAGCGACAATGCGTGCTACCGGCACTCCAGCTTCGACTCGCACCTGCCGTCGGGCGTGTTCAACAACTCGCCGTGCTCCTACGGTATGTGTTGGGTGCATCTCAAAGGGCACGCTTCCGGCACTTTGTCGATAATGGCTCATAGAGAATTAAATTTTCCTGCAAAGTTCTCGTGAAAATTTGGATAGGAAAGAGAAAGGACATTTTTCAAAAATTCGGCCTTTCCCCGTTTTTTTTTAAAATCCTTTTTTTCTACAACTTTTCCTTTCTTTTTTTTTCTCTGGCTCCCAAACCCCTAATGGCTCAAAAATTATAAACTTATTGGATTTTGTGTTTGCAGGGTCCCCAACCTTTTTGTCATTCCCCCATTTCTACCTGGGTGACCCCTCCCTAAGGGAGGTTGTCGATGGCATTGACCCACCAGACCCTGAAAAGCATGGGATGTATTTCACCGTACATCCGGTAAGTTTTAATCGTGTTGTACATGAGTACTGGCCATGACCATGAGTAATATGGATTCATATTCTTATTCCTGTGTGTCCTTTTTTTCTTGAATTTTAGCGATTGGGTATGAATTTGGGAGCAGTTTCACGAATTCAAATCAACACTATGATACCAAGGGCATCTGCCATGTCTCATTTCAAGCGATTCACGGAAGGAGTAATTCTTCCTGTTGCCTGGGTGGAAACGGTACGTCAGGATTTGACTCGTATTATCCAAATACCAACATCAGATATTAATGTTGATCTTAAAGAAACTAACCATAAAAAAATAATATTGTCTTGCAGAACGCTGTCCAGTTTCCGGAAGAAACTAAACGAACTGTGTATCATGCCACTTTTACTCTGCGTGCCGTGGAGCAAGGAATGATGTATGCCTTCCCTCTTCTTACGGTTGTTTTTGCCCTCATTTTAGCCTGTATTGTCATCCCTTGTGGAGGCAAATCTATCAAAGAGCCTCCGATCCAAGTAATTAAGCTAGTTTCAAGTGTGTGACATTACAGCTGTACATTTGCAGCAGCCTGCAGAGTATAACATACATTATTGATCTTCTTTGATGTTACTATCAATGTATTTATGTGGCAAACTGCTTAAATCTATAATTTCTGAGAATGCCTCCGGATTATCTCCTATAATAGTAATGGTGCTATTATAAACAAAAATGGGTCCAAATAATTTAGAAATCAGACATTCTTTCAGATGATTGTGTATATTTGATATTAATGCTCATTTATTTGGTAAAAGTAACCAAAGAAAGTTTTTAAATATGTGTTCTATTTTTTTTAAGCCTCTTCAAATGGTCTATTTTGCATTCCATATGAAAGTACTGACTGAGTATAGGTTTTTAATCTTAGCTTGGAGATAAGTATAAAAGTATTTATGATGTTAAAAATGCAACAAGATGATATTTGTTGTTTAAAATTGTTTATTTTCCCAACGATCACATTTTAAGGGACTAAGCATAGTTATTACTTAAGCTCTGTTAGTAAAGTAGGTTTCACAACTATATTTGGAATTGTCTTGTACCTTATCTACAATATTGTTTTGATATTGTGATATAAAGGTTTAAACATAATTTAGAAATTGACCATGTCCATAATGTTAGTGCATGTTACATTTACTATATAAGTCATATGTGAAATATCATTTAGGGTGAGTAAGTTACCATCTAGATACTGAAAAGATGTGTGATATTTAAGAAATCAAAAATTACATCTAGTAACTGTAGAAGGTTGTGAACTTTGACAAGTATGAGAGTATTTTTATACTGTCTAGTTTTAAGACAATTCACCCCTTTGATCTCCTTTCTTTGAGTACTTTGAGTACAAACAGAAACAATACAAAAGAAATTAGGCACAGTGTTATTTTGCACACGCTTCAAGACTGTGAATAATGAAACCTCTTCTGTTAAATTTTGTAACTCCCTTTGACTGTTACCATCTGTATATGATCCGCAAACAGAAACAATACAAAAGAAATTAGGCACAGTGTTATTTTGCACACGCTTCAAGACTGTGAATAATGAAACCTCTTCTGTTAAATTTTGTAACTCCCTTTGACTGTTATCATCTGTATATGATCCGCTTGCATATTCTTGTGCCATAGATGACATTATTCACTGTGATAGTAGCGTACTAATGTAATTAGATAAATAGAAGTGTCAAAATTTCCATTCCATATCCCGCCCTGAGAGAGAACACATTTTCATGGATAAGCATATTTCATATTAATGTGTTGATAGCTTGTAATCTCACCCATGTACCATAAGTACGGTGCTGCTACAGTGTAGCGCATTGTTCTATTGCTGTTTTGAGCTGTCGATCAACAGCAAACGCTGTCTTTTTGTTACTTGTTTTGTAAAGTTATAAAGTTGTTCCAATTAATTTTTGCTCTTAATTAATTGTTGTTGAAATATGGGGTATAGTGGTGTGATGTTACCCCATTTTTAATTACAATTTATGTTCCTAAACTTGAGTGCATTAAAAGTACAAAGTGAAGATATTTCTCAGTTCCAACAAGTCCCAGCCCCCAAATCCACGTCGGTCTAAATCAATTAGGAGGAATACTGAAACACGCACGTTTT